TATCATCTTGTACGTCCACCAAATTCATATTTTGTACAAAATCACAAGTACTATCCTCTTCAATCTCTCCCCATTGCAAAATTTCCAAAATGGCTTCTCGTATATCGAGTAAGCTAATATCATTAATGGGTGAAGCATCAATAACAATGGGCTCATGTGCAAAATCGATATCAAAATCACAAGTACAATCCTCTTCAATCTCTCCCCATTGCAAAATTTCCAAAATGGCTTCTCGTATATCGAGTAATTTCATATCATGTACATTTTCAAAATACTCATCTTGTACATTATCAATCTGCATATATTGTACATTATCAAAAACTATATCTTGTACCTTGTCATCTGTCTCTTGTAATGTAACAAAATTCATATCATAATCATAAGTCAACTGTTGTGTGTTAACCAACTGTATAGTCTGAGTCCAACATTTATAATCCACCCACTGAATCTCGTGAATCTGTGCCCTGTGCATGACCTCTTTAACGTCCCTACTCTCGGTTATAATAGCATGACATTGTTTCGGATAACTGATCTCCTCCACCAACTCTGTAATATTGTCCGTTACCTCATTTTCCCCTGCTAACAAAAGAACTGTATTCTCCTCCACATCATTTACTCGCCCCCCAGTTTCTTTAACACTTTACCCAGTTTCTAATTTATGCAACTGAACAATCCCCGTCTTATCTGCCCTTATGTCTTCAAAATAGTCGTCACTTATGCCTAACTGGGAAAAATCCGGCTTATATGCACCTGTGTCTACAAAGTAATCGTCTCCTATCCCTAACTGCAAAAAATCTGACTTATATGGACTTGTATCTTCAAAATAATCGTCACCTATCCCTAACTGAAAAAATTCCCATTCATCATTTCCCCTATTGTCGGCCCCTGTTTCAGTTTCATTTTTATTATTTGCCAGCTTTACCCATGACTTGCTTTCTCTACACCATTTAAGTTCATTACCTCCCTCATTTACTAATGGCGTCCCTGTTTCGACTTCATCCTCATCTATATTATCCCAAGTCTTCTTCGTATAGTTCCACCTAAATTGATTTTTTCCTGTTTCCCATTGTGGCATGTAATCACTATCTTCTCGTTCTACTGTATCCCCTTCTAGATTTTCCCAACACTTCTTCCTATAATTCCAAGTAAATTGATGTTTTTCAGTTTCCCCTTCTGCCAAGTAATAAACACTATTTCTATCGTATGGATTAATGCAATTTATACTCACTATCCCGTCTACTCTACCATCTACTCTACTATTAACCCACCCTTCTTCTGATTCGTCCTCTGACCAATCATTAATTACACCGTCAAATTCCTCCTCCTCGCACTCACTATAATCATTATCATTGTCATAACAATCCCTGTAACAATACTCATTGTCATAACCATCCCTGTAACAATACTCATTGTCATAACCATCCCTGTAACAATACTCATTGTCATAACCATCCCTGTAACAATACTCAT